TCTCCTCTCCTTTTTTCTCTGTCCCTGCCCTCTCTCTCTCTCTGCCTCTCTCTTTCTCCTTACCTTTCCTTTTCCCAGTAAAACAGGAAGTAAAAAATGTACAAGATAAAAGTGAAAGACTATAGAACCACTCTGAATTGACTTCTACCTGATCTATAAAATATGAAATAAAGGGAAAATCCTGCCAGAAAATGACTGTTCTGCTATTCTGTTTTACTTTTAACTCCAGTATTCTAGTCCTTTATATTTGATGGTCAATTATTGGGATACCTGAAACATTGCACTCTAAACATCTCTATTGCCAAAAGAAATTCACAAACCAAAGCACCACTTGGGAGAAATGTTATTGTTGCTGCTTAAAAGAAAAAAACATTCCCTACACAGGAGCAGGCCCATTCAGACTCAGCCCACTGCCAACCTGGAGCTGGTGCACAGGGAAAACCACCTTATGCCTCCATTTTGCCACATAAAACCAGACCACATTTCCAGGAGTCAAGCACTCTGTATCGTAGTTGGAATTAAATTTTATTTGAGCCTCAACCATATAAATACATGCATACAACATTATATTCTATACATATTTGAAAACCATTCCCTCCCCCGCCCCGCCCACCTACCCTCTACCTGTTCTTTACAATTCCTGAATGTTAAGTGCAGAACTCCCTTGAGAGCCTGGTGCACACTGGACATGCTCCACACCTCCTAGAGGGTCAGTGGCAGGGTGGGGGTGCAGGGCCTGTATGAGACCTTCCCTGAAGTCATGCAAAAGGATTGTTTTAACATCCCATACTCTAGTTTAAATTCTATTGTTACTAATTCCTGAATTTGGCTCATGTTGAAATGAATAATATATATATATAAAGCATCCCCTTAAAAGAAAAAAGATTGCTAGAAGGCAATTTTGTCACTTGTGATTTCTGAAGAAAATACATCTTTCTTTGAATTACCAAGGGGTTTTATTTGAAAATAAATGTGTAATCCAGAGCTGTTATGTTCTATGATAAATCACAATCATAGGCATACATAAACCTCTAATCCTGTTCTGCAGGGACTGAAATCATGCAAGGGTAAAAAAGAAGTCTAGTCATATTCCCCCAAGGATGACTCTTTCATCAAGACCTACATCACACTGACAATTTTTTCTATAAATATTTTGAATGTGCGTGATGAATTTCTGTCACTTGTCCAACACCTAGATGTGCCTGACAACGTCCTAACATGAATTTCTGGATTGGTTTCAGAGACACAGTGGCTGGTAACTGTATCTACAAATGGCTGATCTATTTTGATGTGAGCTTAATTAATGCTGAATATGAAACTCCAAATGTCACAATGCAGAAGTTTAAAATTTTAATTATTAGACTGACTTAGTTAACTCGTTCTAAAATGTAATTTATTGTGGGGATTAAATTTTCCTCCAATAAATTCAGCTTTTAAGAGAAAAACTTTTCATGAAATCTCCCTGTTACACTTTAAGTATGGGACTGAGAACCAGATGAAAATGGTACAAGGCTGGGACTGTGGTTCAGGGGCGAAACACTTGCCACAGAGGCAATGTCACTGGCTTCTTCTGCTTAGCCCTTGTGAAGCCCTGGGTTCATTCTCACACCGCAGGAAGAAAGAAGAGAATGGAAAATGCCTCCGATAGTATGTGGCCTCACATTATCACACGGCCTCTCTGCTTGCAGAGAAGGATCAGGCTGCCGAGTTAGGAGATCTGGTCACAGAGTCCAAGCTTCTTTTTGATGAAGTTTGAGATCAGAAGCTGAGGCCGTCGCTGGTACTCCATTAGAACATCATGGGACAAGGTGATCTGATCGCAGTCAAGTCTGTCCAGCAGCGTCACACAGACCACAGCAGCTAGTAGAGCAAATGACATAATTACTGAAGGGAATGGGTTTCCCTTTCCTACAGAAGCTTCAGCCTAACATGCCAATGTTCATGGCACATGTACTTGGTATCATTTTTCCTGTAATATAAAAACAACCCCCCAAAAACCTTCTCTTCCATACAATTCATCTTTCTGTGGAATCCCACCAAAGACCTTTTATTTAAATAAGTTGATTGAAAATATTGTGAGCACTCCTCTTTCCTGTTCCTCTATAAGGGGCTTGGTTTAGACTCAATATAGCCCTGTGTTCAAGATAAATGCAAGAGGTCTTTGCTGTTAAAGATGCATCCCCCAGCTTTCAGCCTTGTTTGCAGTTCTCAGAGCCGGAGCCTCTTGCCCGAGGCTCTGCCTGGAGAGCAAGCCATTATCCCCAAGGGACTTCCATTCAATGTTTGAATTCACCTGCAGCAGACTTTGCTGAAGAATAAAGTAAATAAAGAAGAGAGATTGAAGTTTGGTCCTGGAAAATACCAGTAAAGGTGGGCAGTGGCTCTCATGAAATTTGACAAGAAAGATCTAAAATGAAATGCTTAAATATAAGAACCAATTCCATGAAGGAAAACATACCTTAGCATTAATCTCTATAGAACAGGAACAAAATTCTACAATAGGTAAAACAGTAGGGGTAAAAGAAAAAATCCTTTTCTAAAAAAACAGAATTGTCCTCTTTGAAAAGTTGCCACAAAGGCAACGTCATTGGTTTCTTCTGTCAAGAAGAACTGGAGGACAAAAATTGGGCTCCGTCTAAGTTCTTCTTGTTTCAGAATCTTTGATTTCAAAGAATGTGGTCGCCTACATAAAACCAGTGTCAAGCACTTTGAATTGATAACAGGAAAAAATCCCCACCTGCATCATTTAAAAAAGGATGCCAGTGCCTATCAGATAGCTACGTCTTCATGAACAAGTTTGAGAACAGAAAGCTGGAGTTGGACTTATTTCTTGACCCTCTCCACTACTTCAGACTTCTTTGTAAGATCTGGATTTGGGTAGAATGGTACTGTAATGAGTACATGCTATCTTTCAAAATTTTGCTTTTAATTGACCCATAATAATGGTGTATAGTTAAGTGGTATGGTGTATGCCACAGAAAAACTCAAGCTACGGGCCGGGGAAATAGCTCAGTAGAATAAGTGCTTGCCTGGCAAGCGCAAGGGCCTGAGTTCAATCCCCAGTTCCAGAAAAAAAAAAGTTAAAAATAAATACATTTTTTAAAAAAAGAAAAGAAAAACTCAAACTAATTAGCATATGTATCACTTCACATTTAATTTGTGCGATAAATACATTTAAAATCCTTCATTTGAATCTAAATTAACTATAGTCACTATGTTTGTTGTACAATAAATTACCGTTCTTTATATAACTAAAATTTTATAAACTATGACCAATATTTTTTCCCTTTCCTATCCCTGCCCTACCTCCTGCCTCTGGTGCCACCATTCTAAGCCCTGATTCTTTAAGCTTGACTTTTTTAGATTCCACATGTAAGACAATGCAGTATTTTTGCTTCTGTGCCTTAGCATAAAGTATAATGTCCTTTAGGTTCACCCATATTGTCACAAATGACCAAATTTACTTTTTTATTAAAGTTTAATAGTAACATATATGAACATATATATTACATGTTCTCAAAGCCTGTTAATGTGGACATAGCTAATCCAATGGACACTGGCATCCTTTTTCAATTGCTGGTGGGGATTATTTCCTGTTATCAATTCATATATATATATATATATATATATATAACATTTTCTTTATTCAATGATCTGTTGATGACACTTAGATTCTATAGCTTTGCTTTTGTGAAGAGCACTAAAATGAATGGGAATGAAGACATCTAGCATATTGATTTCAATTCTTTGATCACATATGCAGAATTAGAGTTGTTAGATAATGTGGCAGTTCTTGCAGCATGGAGGATCCAACTCAGGACCTTGCACTTGCCAGGCAGACACTTATGCTGCAGGGCTATGTCTCAGCCCCATGTGGTAATTCTAACTTTAGTTTTTTGAGAGAATTTACAGTTTTTCAAAATTGAGGTGCTAATTTACATTTCCTCTGACAACATACATGCTCTCCAACACTTACTATCTTTTGTCTTTGTGGTAATAGCCATTCTAACAATTTATAAATTGATATATCATTGTGGTTATGGTTTATACTTTCCTGATGATTAATAATATTCAGCATTTAAATATACATTTTGTTGGGCATTTATAGAAATGTCTATTTGGTCCCTGTGATTGCTTTTAAAATCAGGCTATTTGTTTTCTTTATACTAAGTTGTATGAATTTCTTGAGTATTTTAGATACTAACTCTTACATAAGTGCTGGGGAGATAGCTCAGCAGCCTAAGCCCCTGAATGGCAAGCACAAGGACCCGGGTTCAACCCCCATTAATGCATGCTGCGCTGGTCCCAGAACCCCAGACACACCCTGCTAGCCACCAAAAACAGGCATGATGGCACACACCTTAATCCCAATGCTGGAGAGGCTGAGACAGGAGGATCATTATAAGTCCAAACTGTGTAGCAAGACCCTGCATCAAATAGATATTAACCTTTTCTAAAAGATAATGATTATAAATCTTTTCTCCTGATCTATGAATATCTTTGCTCAGGTTCTTCTTACATAAGCTAAGGATTTAAGATATCTAGTTTATACAGATGTGCCATGAACTAGGGTTTTTGTTTGTTTTTTTTTTTGTTTTTTGTTTTTGTATTTTAGGGAAGGGTCTCACTACTAGATTTGACTCATAGTGATCCACCTGTTTACAACCTCCCAAGAGCTGGGATTATAGGTGTGTGCCACCACACCCAGTCTCAATTGCCATCTCAACATGCCCCAGGCATGGGACCAACATGGCAGGCCAGGGGATGGAAACCTGGGCCCCTGTGCCTGCTTGTAGGTGCTTTAATCCACTGAGCTATTTGGCCAGCCTTTTAGGGTATTATCCTTGCCCTTTTTTGACAGATGAAGAAATGAGGACCTAACAAGGTTAAAGACATTCTGACCAACTGTTCAATAAGTAGTTCATCAATTACCAACTTCCTGAACTGCAGAAAAGAGTTTTTTCCCTCCCGTCCACCCTTCTGTGGAGCTGGTACATGGTGAACATTCGGAGAGCCTGTCCTGACCCATCGGTCAAGCTGACCCTTATTCAGTGAAGCAAGGAGAATATTCAGTTGGAACTGAGTCAAATATTTCATCATCAAGGACCCTATTTATTCAAAACGCATTGGACTGCAAAGCAACTTGCCTGAACAGGTAAACAAGCCAATGGAAAAGCTAGAAACTTCCCTCAGCTTTTCAAGTTAATGATCAGCAAGTCTGTGAAGCATGGGCTGCCGGTAGCAGAGAGAAGTTGAAAGTCCTTCTCTAATCCTTCACTTGGCAGAAGGATGAAAGGAAATCAGTGCTCTGTACTTTCCACAGAGTGAGACCCGACTTCACTAAATGTCTTTTCTGGATTTCAAGGGTAATGTCAAAGATGGGAAGGAACAGGTAATAGCAGTCCCTGGGGTGTTTCGCTGGCCATTGAGGGCCCATTAACAAGCAGCCTATAATAATCTTGTCACCTATAATTACTATTTCCATGTGCAATTAAAAGGAAATAATTATCCAAAACAATTTGTCAAAATTAAACCTGGCAGCTTTGCTACCATAATGCTCCGATTAAGTATGAAGGGGTAGAATCTGGGAGGGAGGGCCACTTAGTGACCAAGTTGTCACCAAGAAGCTTGTCAGCTCACTGACCTGAGCATGGAATGTATGAAAACATGCAGACCTGAACATGGAGTATAATGTCCCCTGAGCTGCGCCAGGAAGGCCCAGTGATTTGTAACTGGTTGGGGCCACTTATGGCCTCCTTACAACTTGATAAAAGTTGTAATTGGAACCTCTTTTCATGCATATTCCTAAACATGCAAAACCTTTGTGTATAATTTTAGGAAGCTCCTGGCCTCCGAATCCCTGAAAACACAGGGATCGGCTCACTGGTCCTAAACGACGCTCTCCTGAGTACACTGGTAGTGGAGAGGGAGGATTAGCATCTTAGTTACTTCCCTTGCTATTGGAACACATACCTGACCCAAGAAGAAAAGTTTATTTTGGCTCACAACTTATAGAAGTTTCAGTCCACAGTCATCAGGCTCCAGGGCAGAGGGGCATAGCAAAGGAGGACTGCTTATAGACAGGAAGGCTGACCCCTTGGACCATGCCTCCAGTGACCCCCTCCTCAGACCACACTTATCTCCCCCCACCATCACACCTACCTATCAACTACTCAGGGGGCAAATCCCCTAATGAACAACCGTGTCTCCAGGATCTGATGACCTTTAAATCCCCTCCTATGAGCACACGAGGCTTTAAGGGAGATACAGAGACAGAGGCCACAGCAATTAGCCTACAGGTTAGGAGGGTAGAATTTAAGTGTATTCAACAAAACTAGAGACACTGGCTTTGATTAAAAATATATACAATCTTACAAAACAGGAAGACAAAGGTCATTATTAAAAATCTTATCTCTATAAAAGTAATGAGTGAAAAACACAGAGAAGGCAGGTTTTGAATGTTTCATCACAAGAAAAGATAAATGTTGTGGACAGGCTAACTACCCAGATTTGATCATTACACGATCACATAGGCATTGAAATCTCATACTGTATGCCACAAATTTGTGTAATTATTATATGTCATTTTAAAACTCATAAAGTGATAGATGGATTATTTATGATGTCCACCTGATTTTCCATACAAGGTCTGACTTTCTTGAAAAAATCATGAGCATATGTTTTTTTATTGTATTGCATGTATTGAACATTTTTATTTTATTCCATTTCTACTGGGTAACTCTAGGGCTATTCTCAGCCCCAGGATTTTGCTCATGGTGAACAGCTATATGATCACTACACTGGAAACAAGCGAATCTCCATTGGCCTTCAGTGTTTTGCTTCTTCTGCACAGAGAGAAC